AAGAAAGAAACTACAGTTTCCTCATTAGGAAATTTAGGAGTTGAAGAACAAATTACGGTATCTAAGTAACAAATGTAGAGAGCAGCAATTGCGTTAACAATGCATAAAGTGTAATAGGAATACTTGGAGAGATATGCAGTGCAAACTATATGATTTATTTATGAGGCCGTTGAGAAAACGATAGCGATATTTGCGCCTAACTTCTGGCCAATATCATTACTATCCCTGTGAATTTCGAGAATTGCAAGGTTTTTGAAAACAATGCAGAGGTTCAACTAACTATATATTCAAATTCGCATTAGAAATTCTGGTGAGGCTGTTGATGTGCCTATTTTAGTTTGAAAGGTGTACATTTCCCAAAAGTGGAGCAATCATAGATTCACTAATCTTCATGATTTGATTAGCCTTTCGCTTCAACAAATTAGGGAAGTCAAAATTTCCACATTCGCAGAATTCCTGAATGGTGTTAGAAGGTTGTCTACGCCCAACTGCAGAAGTTATTGCTACGTCATTTTTCATTCTATAAAGATGGGATTTTTTATTGAAACTGCATGTATATGTAAGAAATTTCAGAAGTTCCAAAAAATAGGATTTGAAAAATTGGTATTTTTCGAAATTACTGCAAAACTAAGGATTTACACAGCTAGAGCAAATAATTTACTATCAATATAAGGCTTAATGCAAAACAAATAATAGTTCTTCCAAAAAATAATTGAGCTTGGCAATAGCTTAATCAAGGCTATCTCATATGAGCAATTGTGTACACAGCGCCTCGCTGCCGATGAGTTTCTTGAAGATTGGCACCATTAAAGTATCCTAATTCGATCCCATTCTCAACCTTCAGCCTTTGTTGCGTGCAGAAAGGAAATTTTGCTGTGATGATGCAAACACTTGACTTTGCGGTCGAGAAATTAGAAATCGAACTCAGTATTCCTGGTTTTTTTGTAAGAGCACTAAAGTACTGAGCAAACACTTGGTAATTGTACACCTTTTTTCAAAACTGTCGAAAGAAACTTTAGCAAAAGCCTGGCAGCAGCAAGATCTCTAATTTTCATCTTTTTACCACCGAGGTATCTATTATAACTTGCAGTGTTGTACTTCCAGGCGAAAGCAGAATTCTACCTAGCAATTAACTGTATATCCCCTTAGTTTTAATGCTCTACCAGACTAAGGAGTCCTTCTAAGTTTGCTTTCCTTTCTCAAGTTTCAACTCCTTTAAACAACGTCCAAGTTATATAATACAGTATCTTTTCTTACCTTATTTTTAACAAAAGTAGCACTTTAAACATTATTACA